GACCTATATAACAAGAAATGTAACTTCTGTATGTGACGAGGTCAGTCAAATCCCCTCAGGATTTATCCTGAAACCCTGTACCATAGTTTGTAGATCCTTTGTCAGTGTCAGCCATGTAGATGAGTGATGGCCATTGCTTGACCAATTTGCTCTCTGTGACTGCCTGAGAGAATGTTTTCTCTCCATGTGACTCTCCTTAGGAAAAGCCAGTTGTGATTTTTTTTTTTTTCAGAACTGGGTCTTGAACTCAGGCCCTTGCGCTTGCCAGGGAAGCGCTTATTCCACTGAGCCATCTCCCTGGCCCCTCCTGGGTAGCTTTTAATAAGCATTTGCTAAATGAATGCTGATCACCTCCACTCCCACTTCAGAAGTAAAAGTCTCTGGCCCAGCCCACCTCCAGGGGCCTCTCACAAGAGTACTTTCAGAGGACAGTCATATGTCTTTAAATTCCAATAGTGTTCTGGGCAATGGAGCCAACCAAATTCTAATGGGAAATCCTGAGGGAGCAAGATGCTATAAATCTGTCTCCATTGGAAGTACCAGAGCCTAATGTAGTTTGTTGAGAAAGCAAAGGGCTCATTGGCTCCCTGAGCTCAATAGTGCAGGGCAGGTTCATTCCCTGCTCCAATGATACCACAAAGCTCTTGTCCTGTGGAGGAATCCCCATAGCTGGATTCCTATCAGGTGACACTGACAGCATGGCCAGGCTCACTTCAAGACCCCCCTTGCTCCCAGGTCCCATGGAGGAAACAACTGCTCTAGCTATGGTTCCAGGAAGGGGCTCACCCCTCCACCCAGGCCAAGGGTAGCTGGGACAAATTACAATAGACCCTGTAGCTTAGAACCATGTAAATGCATCCTCTCACACTCTGGAAGTCAGACATCTGAAATAGATCTCACTAGCAGCAGGGATGTAGTTCCTTTTGGAGGCTCTAAGGCAGGATCTGTTTCCTCCCCTATTCATCTACATTCCTTGGCTTGTGGCCCCATCCTCCACCTTCAAAGCCAGTGTGTAACATCTTCTCATCTGCCTGGGTCTGACCTTCCTCCAGCGTTCACTTATAAAGACTCTTGTGACAACATTGGGTCTAACTTGATAATCCAGAGTAATCCCCCACCTCAAGATTCATATCCTACTCACACCAAAAAAGTCCCTTTGCCACATAAGGTCACATATTCACCGCTACTAGACTTTGGGATGTGGCATTAGGATGAGGGTCATTATTTGGCCAACCACAGCAGCCAAGGTATCACTAGCATGAGTCATGGGGCCATCTATGGGGCCAGAGGCCTTAGAGATGAACCCACTGAAATCCCAAGAGCACAGAAAGGTAATGATGCAAAGGGAAACAAGCCGAGCTCTATGACTCTGACAGACCAAGTTGGACAGGTCAACTGGATCGTGTGGCCCGCCCACAACTCTGATGATCATAGCCATGGGCTCATGGAAGCAATGACTTGCAAGAACACTCTGTGTCCCAGGTGGGCTCTTCCTTTTACCTGTCTGTCACCATTGCTTTCCCTGGCATTCAAAATGTACCCAGCGTTGTGCCCAAAACTTGGGGTCTTCCTTTCCCCTTCCTGTTCAGTCCTGGAGTAAACATTCTCCTCTGATTTCCTTTATACTTCCCTTAAATTTTTTTTCTTCTGTGAATTGAACCTGGATATTGATGGATGGGTGGATGATGGATGGATTATACCAAATATTTAGACTCACAAGTTCAAAAAGGATCTGGTATAAAATAGAAAAATGGCTCTTGGTTAGCTGTGCTAGGCTGGGGCTGCAGACTTGTATTGCTTTACAGCAATCAGGCAAGCTTAAGGAATCCAGGCCATTGGAAGGAAATGCTCCCTCCTCCCCGCTCTGAACTGATTTCTCTTCCACTCAAGATGCCCCAGATGAGTATGTACAGTCCATGGAGAACAGCGCAATTACTCATGGCCTAATTTCCCTCCTGCTAAAGAGGTACAAACAGAAGCCACACACATGATTTAAAATAAAGGGGGAGAACCGCATTTTGGTCACTGGAGCTAATTTCCTTAAACTTCAATGCTGTTCTACCAAAGAGAAAATGAAAACAACTTGAGCAACCACAGAATTAATTCATCACCATACATCACAGCCCTAAACTTGGGAGAAAGAGCACAGACTTGGACTCCTGCCCCCCTCCCGTCTCTTTGTTGGTAACACAAGCAGCCTCCATTGCTGTTGGCTCTGCTTCCATGGACTCAACCAAACAAGGACAGAAAATACTTTTTAAAATCATTAACTATACCAAACACGTCCAGGCTCTTTGGTTGACATTATTCCCCTAGCAATATAATAAAACAGCAATTTGCATGATGTTGACATTTCATAAAGTATTGGAAGTCTTCTCAGGATGATTTAATGTATATGGAGGAGGAGGGTGGGGTCTATGCATACACATGGCATTTCGTGGAGTGACTCAGGCACCACAGATGAGTATCTTGTGGGGGTCTTAAAGCCCACTTGTTGCAGATGCCAAGGGGCAGCTGTAGTGCTAGTGATACCTGCCATGTAGCTCTCACCTCAGGGATGCACAGGCAGGGAATTCAGACAGGGGCTCTGTTCTGTAAAGTGTCCCATGAGCCTCAGACTTCACCCTGGCCTTGCAATGATCAAAGTGAAAAGGCAGCCAAAGCCCCATCCTTAGGAAGTAACAGCCTCTAACAGACTAACAAGAGGCCTGTAAAAACATCCCAAGACTGGACATTATGATTTCCTCCAAACAACAGAGCAGGTTCCAAAGACCATCAAACAAACACCAGCTGAACATCCAGAGTGCTCAATGGCCTCAAGGTCATCAGGTGCCAGGTGCTAGTGAAACTGGTGGCAGCTCAGGTGAAAAGTACCTGGAGATGGCAATGGCAAACTGACCAATCCCCAGAGAAGAGCTTAGCAAAATGTTTAAGGAGTCCTTTGAAATTCCTGACCTTCCAACTAGTTCTTTTTTTTTTTTTTTTTTTTTTTTTGGGAGAAGTGTAGGGGATCAAACTCAGGACCTTGTGGTTGCCAGGCAAGTACTGAAGCCACTGAGCTATCTTTCCAGCCCTCCAAGTAGTGTTTCTAAGGAGGTGTGTGTGACAGGAGCTAGTCTGAAATTCAGGACAAAGTGGTGGACAAGGATATTTATGGGTGAAAAAAATTGAACCTGGGTCTGAGGTGTAGCTGAGCAGTAGGTACTTGTTGAGTGTGCAAAAGATCCTGGGATCTATTCCTACATTAGGAGTGGGGGAGGAAAGGAGGAGGGAGAGAAAGACAGACAGACAGAGAGAGAGAGAGAGAGAGAGAGAGAGAGAGAGAGAGAGAGAGAGAGAGAAAAGAAAGGGAGAAAGAAAAAAGAAAAGAAAAAAAGGAAGGAAGGAAAGAAAGAAAGAAGGAAAGAAAGGAACTGATGTTGAGGAACACTATCACTATGCAACAGTCAGGTGCTGAACAATTTTGGTCAACAATGGACCTGCATATGCAGTTGGTTTCATGAGATTACTTTACCATGTGACACCAGAGTGGCTCAGTTTGTGTGAAGTGCACTTTATAAGTTCACACAATGGGAACACTGATTTTTTTTTTTTTTTTTTTTTTTGCGGAACCAGGGATTGAACTCAGATCCTTGCGTTTGCCAGTCAAGCGCTTATCCTACTGAGCCATCTCCCCAGCCCCTGGGAACACTGATTAATGACACATTTCTCAGAACCAATATTTAGCATTAAGTGACATATTGTTATGGTTTGTGTCTAGATGTTCTCACAAAGCCTCACACAGTTGTGGGGGTTGTGGGCTTCTCAGAGGTGGCTGAATCTAGAGTTTGTGGTTGATTCATGGTCCAACACTGGGATTAAGCGTGTGAGTGCTGGGATTAAGGGTGTATGCAGGGCAGCCTGCACACCATATAAGGGGCAGAGAGGGTCTTGTCTTCCTCTGCTCTCTCATTGCTTTTGCTGTTTTCCTCTGCCATGAATGGTTGCTCCTCTGCCATGTACCACTCTGCGTTGGAGCCAGCCAAGTATGGACTGAGACATCTACAGTGTATGAGCTATTCACTGTAGGTATTAGGTATTTTATTGCAGCTACAAGAAAAGCAACTAAGACACACATGACTGTAATTTAAAATATTTTCATGCAATAGTTAATAACATGGGAATGTTTATAAGTTTCAACAAGAAGTCAAATACAAAACTATCTATCTATCTATCTATCTATCTATCTATCTATCTATCTATCATCTACCTACCTACCTACCTACCTACCTACCTATATAGCAGTCCCTCCATCTCCATGGGGGTTGGGTTCCAGGAACCCTCAGATAGTGGTCTTTGACCTTTTTGGCCCCAGGGACCAGTTTGCAGAAGACAGTTTTTCTGCAGACAGGAGTGGGAAGATGGAATGGTTTGGGGATGATTCAAAGGGGCAAGCAACCTGACCCCTTGTGTATGCAGTGCACAGTAGTGTTTGGCTTCTAGGAGAATCTGATGCAGCCACTGACCTGACAGGAGGCAAGGCTCAGGCCGCCCGGGCGCAATGGGGGTGGCTGTCAGTGGAGAGGAAGCTCCGTCTGCTTGCCCGCTGCTCACCTCTTGCTGTGTGGCTTGGCTCCTATCAAGCCACAGGCAGGTGCCAGGTATTAGTTATGACTGAGGGATTGGAGACTCCTACTCTTGGATACCAAAATCCAAGGATGTGCAAGAGCTTTATATGAAACTACACCCCTTCGGCACAGAACCTAGTCACATCCTTCTGTACGCTTTCAGTCATCTCTAGACAACTCCAGAAACATGGAGGTGCACACTCTGACCCAACAGCAGGCCTGTGGGCTCCCTTCTCCAGGGAAGTCATGTGTGAAAGGTCTCCAAGAAGCACCCCTGATCCAGAAAGATGCCCTCAGCATCCAGCCCAGGCAAGAACCTGGCTGTGGATGTGGGAGTTGCCACATTGCCCCGTACCTTCAGTGTCTCTGAGCTTGGGACACACGAATAACAGCATGAATAACAGCATGACTTCTCCCTACAGCCGTATCCAGGTCGCCAGCCACAAGATGGACAGGATGCCCGTCATCTGTGACTACGGCTCAGGCTTGAGCAAGGTGGGATTTGCAGGAAATGAGGCCCCCGTGGCTGTCTTCCCAACCATCCTTGGGAAACTGCGTCATGATGTGAGTGAGGACGAGGTGTCCGTTGGGGTGGCGGTAACCCCATCCCCTCTCCCGCTGGGCTGGGCAAGGAGGTCCTTTGGGCTGGGGTGGAAGGCTTTAGAAGCGTGGGAATGCCTGCCGGTGACACAGAGAAGCTGGGCCCAGCCTGGAGTTCTGCTGCAGCTGGTCCCGGCGGGGGTGAGGACTTGTGGGGCTGGCCACTGCCCCCTGCCATTCTTCAGAGCCACTGGCTTCTGTGGAGCAGGCCGTTAGAGAAGTTAAGTTACTGTCTCAGTGGTTCTGTCCTGCTCTCAGCATAAAATATGATGAATGTTTATTTATTTTTATTTTTGAGGTTGCATTTTGTTCCTTCTCGTCATTTTGTGTAGCACTGTCTTCTGACCTTTGTTGTAGATCTTCGTTGTAGTTATAACCTTAGCACATACTGAAGTTCAGGTGCAGATCTACAAAGTCTGGATTTAGCCAGATGTGCCTGGCTTGGGTCTGGCTGCTGTGCTCAGCTCCTTCCTGCTGCTGCTCTTGGGGGTGAACCTGTTGTGCCCCTGTGACAAGATGTTCTCCTCCTGGACTAGCTGGGTGGTTCTATCCTCTACACTCTTTGCAGGGATTGTAGCTGCAGGGTTATACCCCAGGCATGTAAGCCAGGCCTGAGCTGAGCCTGGAGGGGACAAGATGGAGTAGGGGGGAGAGGCAGCTCTCCCACACACTCACCGGGTCTGGGCTAGGACTGAGTCTGGGGGTTCCTGGAACGCGGCAGAAATTCCTACTCGCCGGGCGGGCTGGGGGAGGTGCTGAGTGGTGGGGGGCGTCTCAAGGGGGTGGAAGAAGGTCTCACCCATGCTGTGCCTGGGCTGGGACCCATAGTCGGTCCCGCCGGCGCAAGGTAGCCGGAAGCTCTCCCCCACACTCCTATTTTTATTTTTTATGTATTGAGCACAGGGTCTACAGGTTCTGGTACCACATGCCATGCCGGGCACCCTGAGACAGCAATTGAGACTGAGCGTGGTGGCGTGCACCTGTAATCCCAGTGCTTGGGAGGCTGAAAACAGGAGGATCACTATGAGTCTGAGCTGGGTAGTGATCATGGCATACTTGTAGTGAGAAGCCCCAGTCAGTCCCAGACCTCTGGTCTTAGATTTCAGTCTTCAGAACTGTTGAATTGAGCCCTTGTATGATATACTACCTGAAGCCGGGTAATTCGTGAAGAACAGAGATTTATTCTCTACAGTTCTGAAGACTGAAATCTAAGACCAGAGGTCTAGATCTGCCTGAGGCTTCTTGCTACAAGCATCCCGTGGCAGAAGGTATGGGGGGAATGGAGAAAGAGAAGACTAGGACCAAGGGGAAAGCTCTTCCTTTTATCAGGAATCTGTTGGATAACATCAACAGCATTTTTAAATGTAAGAGGCATTTGTAGCTCGCAGGATCATAGGTACAAAGAACTGGGCTCACTCTGTTGGGCTGAGGCTTCTTCACACGTCCCTGAATCAGCTGGTCAGCTGTAGAAATCCTGTCAGAAAGGACTGGCTTAGGAGTCTTATGAGTCTGTCTGTTGCTTTGTATGTTTGCTCAGGCTGTCCTAACAGAGCGCCACAGACAGGGGACGTAAACAGGTGTCACTGTCTCACACTCTGGAGGCTGGAAGTCCAAGGTCAGAGCATGGGCAGTGCACGTCCCCCTGAGGCCTCTGTTCTTACTTGCAGGTAATTTTTTCTCCCTGTGTCCTCTTATGTGGCTGTTCTTTATGTCTGTGTCACGACTTCCTCTTATAGGATCCCAGTGAAATCTGTTAGGGTCCTGCCTAGTGACCTCTGTATAACTTGGCTACCTACCAAGACTCCATTTCCAAATATCATCCCATAATGAGGTCCAAGAATTAGGAATCCAACATGTGATTTGGGGTCATGTTCAATCAGTAGATGCTTTAAGCACTGGTACAAGTCATAATGTCAAAGGCTTAGAAGATCTGGGGTTGGATCTGGCCCAAGACTCAGAAGTCTCTTTCCTTGGAAGCTGTAGCTTATCTTCAGCTGGGCCATCTAGAACCAAGTGGGTGCATACCATAGGCCTGCCAGAACCAGAGAGGGACTGGGCAGAGAGGTGGGAGGAGGCTGGCATCGGAGAAGTGTCCTAGTCATGCTCCTGGAAACCAGTTTGGTGTGTTAGCAGTTTCTGTTGAAATTGAGCCAGGGAGCTTCCCAGAAGGGCCTCCCAAGCTCCCAAAATAAAGTCTTTGTTGCTAGTGATGGCTGCTGGCTTTCCTGAGACCGGGAGCAGGTGAGCACCAGAGATAAGAGGATGCAGAGGGTCTGGAATAACGTACTCCACAAGTGAGAGGAGAGGTATTGCTGTGCAGTCTGTGCAACACGCAGATGAATATTTATCCATTACCACCTGAAAAGTGCCATGGGAAGAGAGTGGAATGTCCCAGCCCCACGCCCTCCCTCCCTCCTCACTGAGTCTCCCAGGAGCAGGAACTCAGGGCCCCTCTGCCCTCTCTATTCCCTGCAGAGTTTCAGTGCAAAGTTGTTCCCCCTTCCTGAAACCTGAATCTTTTGAATAGTTCTGATTAACCTAGCCAGATAGTGATGCACTGCCCCTGCCCATTTTGGAGGATTTCACCAAGTGGCTTGGAGAAGGGATGGGAGAGCAAATTAGAGGAGGGGCAGAGGCACTTAGATGGCACAGTATCGTAGCTGCCTGGCTGTCCCAGGACTGCTATAATGTGGTGCACTTCTGCTCTTCCTGAGGTCTTGGGGCACCAAGCCTTCATGCAGTGGGGCTGTGCTGTCCCAGGGCTCTAGAACAGGCTCTTTCCTGCCTTTTCTAGCTCTGGAGTCCCCAAGTATCCCTTGGCTTATGGCCTTACCACTCTAGTCTCTGGCTCTAACTTCATGGGTCCTCTTCCTGTTTTCCTTCTCTGCCTCAATCTCCCTTTGCCTTTCTGCTCCAAGGACCCTCAACATTGGATGCAGGGCCCACCTTAAGGTCAGGAGCATCTCCACTGGGGCCTTTGCCTGAATTATTTTGGCAAAGACCCTTTTTCCAAAGAAGGTCACATTCATAAGGTCCGAGGGATAGAGCTTGGACATCTCTTCCTGGGGCCACCATTCACCCTGTTGCAGCTGGCCTCTCCCTGTCACCAAGGGTTCGAACTTTATCCTTCACATTTCTGAGCTGCCCTGGCATGCTGGGGCTGCAACTCAGCAAACAACAGTTCTAGGACTTCCCCACCCACTGTTCTTGTGAGACTTTTTAAGCAGGGTTCCCTAGAGACAGACTAACAACACTAGGCGCGGGTGTCCGGTCTTGCTTTCCTGTTCTCTTCTGTGCCTCTCTTGAAGCAGCAACAAGGGCCCCAGCACCAACCCTCCCCAAGGCCCAAGTCACAACCCGAGTAGCCAATGGTACGCACCTTCTGCCCCAGCTCAGGCACAGGAGGCTCTTCTGGGCTTGGTCTGCAGCCCCGTTTGCCTGGATTACAGGCCCATTTGTTCTGCAATGTTAATGCCACTTGCACCAGTAGTATACCTCGTAGCCTAGGGAGTGTGTGTGTGTGTGTGTGTGTGTGTGTGTGTGTGTGTAGGAAGCACATGTTAGGGCTAGAGAAATAGCTTTGAGGCCTGACAAATGCAAAGTCCCAAGTTGGACCCCCCAGTACTGTATGCCATGCCGGGCGTGGTGGCAAATGCCTGTAATCCCAGCACTGGGAGGTTGAGACAGGAGGATCACTATGAGTCTGAGCTGTATAGTGAGACCACGTACTAAATAAATGAATTAAAAATTTTTTAAAAAAAGGAAACACATGTTGACTGTGCCGTCTTCCCCATCACGCATAGGGGAACTTCCCAGAATTCCCTGTGGGTGCCCAAGATCTTGGGGTGTACCCAACCCCACTCATGCTGTTTTCCTCTGTACATTCAGACCTAGAAAAAGATTAATTTATGAGCTAGATGTAAATTAACAACGTTAATTAGCAATAAAAATTAACAACATTAAGTAATAATAAAATAGAACAACGATAACATCTTGCAATAAAAGGTATACGAATGTGATCTCTTTCTTGACTCAAGATAGGTACTAAGATTTTTGGATCAACGGTAACCAAAGCCCTGGAAAGTGGCACCACAGGTACCAGGGAGCATGGCACAAAAAGCAGCACCTCAGTGAGCACAACTGAATGTGAACAGGCTGTACAGTGTCAGATGCAGAGTCCTAGCATGACAAAATCAAACTCTTTACCAAAATGGCATCAAACGATCAAGATCAATTATAAGAGCATAAGTACCCCTGCAGGCTACCCTTGGCCTCCGTTTGCTTGCTTTCCCTTGAGCCACGTCGTGTCCTTAGCCTGTGGGCTTCACCCCAGTTGGGCAGCAGCAGCGGCTCCTGCCTCTGGGAGGGGTCATGTTCCTTCCAGGTCTAAGCTCTTGGCCCCCTGCACAAGCTTGAGTTTGTACCTTTTCTTGCCTTCGCAAGGAGGCACGGAATCTCGGAGTATCCTCGGGGCTTCCGTATCCCACCCTTCACCTAGTAATCCACGCTGGCAGCCAAGATGGCAGCAAGGCCACTGGTGGGAGGGCCGGAGGGAATCCAGAAGCATCGCCCAAAGTCACTCATCCAGGGCAGCCTGAGCGGCTACCTTGACCTGCAGGCCACCCGGTCTTGGGACACCAGGCAGCATACTGTGCAGCCTCAGAGAGGGCAATGAGGCTCCTTCCACAAGTGCACAACCACACATGGGGAAGGGCCAGCTGGGGAGTGTCAGAGAAGCCATTATAGTACTAATCACCCTCCTGTCCTGCGACCCTGTTGGCACCTTTTCCCCATAACACTCCTGTCCCGAGATCATGCTCCCTGCAGGCTTATCCACCCAGCTGCTGAGCGTGGCCTTTTCTGAAGACCCAGGACTCCCTTGACCATGAGTCTGGACCTGGAGCTCCCCTTGCTGACCTCTCTTGTCACGCATGGTAGCCCACGACCCTGCTTATCTGACTCCTCTCTTTCACTTGGGGTCCACATGGGCATCCATTTGATGGCTCCGCATCCTTGTTTCCTGTCCATTTTCATCCACAAGGAGTCACTCCCCACTGACATCTTGCACCTTTAATCCCAGCTCAGTATCTGGTTCTGGGCAGGCCCAGATGAATACACCAGAAAACCGGTGCATCCCAAGTGGCAGAAGGAAAACTTGCACACCCTTGAAGGCCACCAGGTGCATCTTCCCAAAAGCTAGGACTTAAATCACACTCTAGTCCTTTTCCAAAACCTCCTCTTGGCCACTGCTGAAACTGTACATGGGTCTGGAGAGGCTCCTTCGTGCTCACGCTGTGGCCTGGGCCCTTCCTGTTTTTATTCATGTTGGCTGATTGCAGCTGAGCCCCGCCTCCCTCCCCTGCCCTGCACTGTTCCATCCTGCCATATTTTCCAGACTATGTTGAAGGGAATGGAAGAGAAAGACTGGTTTATGGGAGATGATGCCCAGAAAAAGAGAGAAGAAATTATTCTGCAGTACCCCATCTCCCGGGGAGCCATCCACAGCTGGAACAACCTGGAGAAGGTGGGTCACAGCTTCTACTAGGAGGACCTGGCCAAGGACGCCCTACCATGGCCTCAGCACTAAGGAAAGGGTCTTTGGCCAGGCATGGAGTACTGTGTCACAGCTCTTAGCTCTTTCTCCCTCTGGACATCTCATAGTCTCAACTATTCTGCAGTCAGGAGACCTCAGTTTGAATCCTGTCTCCACTGCCTATTATTGAAGTCACTTGGGACACTAGCTCTAGCCTCTGTGATCCTCGGTTTCCTTGTCTTAAAGACAGATAGAATTGCTTTTACCATACTGCTGCTGTGGGGATTAAAGGACACAATGGAAAAGAGATCCTTAGTCTGAATGAAGAAATAATATATAAAGTGAAATCAAACCTCTTTCTGGCATAACCAGTGGTTCTGATCAGGGCCTCCCTGTGTGTTTGAACAGGTTTCGACTGTCTTAGAAGACATACCATAGTCAGATAGTTTAAACCATAGAAATCCATCACCTCACAGTCCTGGAGGCTAATCCAAGATCGAGACCACAAGGCTAGTTTTTAATGTCACAGATATGTCTGCATCTGTACAGCCAAAGCATCGGCTCTGGTTGTGGCTCTGAGTGTGGAGGGGATGCAGACACTGGAGCTGTGTAGACTGACTTTGGAATGTGCGGGGGGCCCCCAGCTTCCCATGCCCTTTCCCACTGGGTTGTTGGCCCCTCCCCTCCCCTGTATGGGGCTCACCCTGTCTACCTACATCTTGGGGACTGGTCCTGTGCCTGCAATCAGTGCCAGCTCTGAGTTTAAAGTTGTTAGCCTAGTACAGTGTCCCCAGAGGAACCCCTTTCTATGATGTCAATGCCCCTACTCATCTCTGATTCACCCACCCACATCCCAGGATAGGTTGCCATCCCCTGCTTCAAACAATCAGCGCATTAAGGTATGAGTCCACTTGGATTTTGTCACTGCATAGGTGCTGCAATGCCTTGTGTGTCTGCAGCCTCACGGTGCTTCCACAGCCTGAGTTTCTGAATGCCTTTTACCAGCAGACTGCCCCTGCATCATGCACAGAGCTTCCCATCATACACAGAGCTTTCCATCATGCACAGAGCTTCTCCCCCAAGGAGCAGGCAGGAATACCACAGCATTGTTTGTGAAGCCCTACTGTGTGCTGTGGTCTACACTAGGTGACACAGTCTGAACTGTGCACCTCTGGAATTATATCCCAGAATTCTGACCTTTAGTCTCCTGGAATGTGACTGAATTTGAAGACTTGGCCTCTAAAGAGGTGATTAAGTGAAAATGGAGTCTTTTGGGTGGGTCCAAAAGATTTAGGTCCTTCTAAGAAGAGGAGATCAGGGTGCAGACACCCACAGGAAGGAGATGCCATCTGCAAGCTAAAGAGAGGTCTCAGGAAGGACCAGCCCTGTGGACACCTAGGTCCGGGACCTCCAGGCTCCAGGATGTGGGACCATGACTGCTATAGGAGTCGCTGGCTGTCGGGTTTGATAGGAAGTAGACACATCAGGCTTTTCAATAAAGTTGTCAACTAATCTCACAATCCCCTCTGAGATAGGACCATGTTCCATTTTAAAGATGGGGGCACAGGCCCATGAAGGCCACCCTGTGTGTGGCAGAGCTTCTGCCAATGCTGGGCTCTCCCCGTGCAGAGCCAGCCTGCCTGGTTGCAGACTCTCCCCACGCTGTGGGTGCAGATGTCCACGGGGTCAGACCCGAGGTCCTCTAGGGAGCACCGTGCCTCCTGGCTGCGTTTCCCCCACTTCGTCCTCTAGGCCTGGCATATAGTTGAGGCTGTGTGTCCCGCCCATAGTCACGGTCTACCTTCCCTGTGATGTCATCCAGTCACAGCGCTCTGACCCTGCCCCAGAGGCTGCAGATGCTGCGCCAGACACAGTAACCTTTAGGTATCCGTGGGAATTGTTTCCAGGACCTCTTCAGATCCTAAACTCAAAGGACTGGGGCTGGGGAGATAGCTCAGCAGTATAAGCACTTGCCTGGTAAGCACAGGGTCCTGAGTTCAATCCTTGTTACTGGAAAAAAAAAATCCAAGGACCAGAGAGTGGAATAGTAGTACGTACATATAACCCACATATACCCTTCTGTATACTTCACATAAGCCCTCTGTGATTTATGATACCTACTACAGTAGAAAGGTCATGTATGTAACTATTTTGCATTGTTTAGAGAGTAATGGCAAGAAAAAGGTTTTGCACATGCGTAGTACGGACACATTATTGTTGTTTGAGTCTTGGGATGTGAAGCACATGGATTCAAAAGCCAACTGTACTGTTTCATCTGATATAGAAAGAAAAGGAAGGAAGAAAAGATAGAAAAAAGAAGAAAGATATAAATGAGAAGTGGATGACAGATGAATTGGGTAGATGGATAATAGAGATAAAAGAAATACATTAATATGAGAGGGAGGGGGAGAGAGAGAGAGGGAGAGAGAGAGAAACAGAGAGAGAGAGACAGAGAGAGAGAGACAGAGACAGAGAGACAGAGACAGAGAGACAGCGCTGACACTCTGCGAGCAGCCAGACTCTCCTCCATCCTCACAGCAGCCCTCTTTGCCCTGCCCTGTCCCCCTAGATTTGGCATCACTCCTTCTACCAGGTGCTCCACATCCCCCCTGAAGAGCACCCGCTGATGGTGACTGAGCCACCTTTAAACTCAACATCCACCAGAGAGAGAGCATGCCAGGTAAAGGGCCAGGCAGAGGGTGAAGGGTGGGTGGCATCAGGCAGCCCAGGGGCCCTGCACAGAAGGCAGAGTCCTCCTGGGGGCTGGAGTGGGGCCAGGTGGGTGCCACAGAAGTCCCTGTTGGCCGCAGGCGCGCTCACGTCACCCGAATCTCCTAATGAGGGCGCTGATGGGCTAATTAAGCAGCAGCAAGGCTCATCCATCTGGCCCAGTGCCCCTGAGCCTAGCGCTGTCTCCTGCACTGAACAGCAACCTGCAGGGCAGGCCCAGGCCAAGTGCCACCTGCACGTGGCACGGCATGCCCAGGGTGAGGCGCTGGCCTGGTGAAAGGAAGCCCAAAGTGCTAGGCTTGCCCACAGACAGGACACAGCAAAACACTCACTGTCCCCAAGGCCCTTGGCAGCTGGAGGAGGCTGATGGCAAGGCCACCTTCACTCCAGGAGCACGGCGTTCCTCACTGTACAGGACAGAAAAGAGTACTAGGTGTGTACATGTACAGAGGGAACCAGCTCGTGTGGCTTCTGCCATCACGACTGGAAACCCAGGAGGGCAATAGCACTGCCTCCTTCTGAAGGCCCAGAAGAGCTACCATCCAGTGTAAGCCTGAAGGCCAGAGGTTCAAGTCCTAAGTCTGAGGCAGGTGTGACCTCCCCCAGGCCCCGTTCTTCTCTGAGAATGCACCAGCCACCCATGCTGGAGAGGGCCACCTGCTTCCCTCAGCGCACTGACCCAGTGTCAGTCTCACTCAAGGACACGCCCTGGACACACCGCCATGATGCTTCCCAAACGTCTGCGTCTGCTGAGCCTGGGCAGGTCGACCCATGGAACTGAACTATGGCAACAGTCATGGGGTGGGCACACTGCCTCTCCCTGTGTGTCCCTCCACTCCCTGGGCCGCTGCATGCCTCTCTGCCCCAGATCCACCCAGCTTATGTCGGAGGCCAGCACAAGACCAGAGGAACATCCATCCAGGCTTCGCCTGCAGAAGTTGATAAGAAAATTCCACTCATAACACCTTACTTCATAGTGAAAGAAGTGTGGAGGCTGGGGGGATAGCTCAGCTGCTTAGGCACCTGCCTGGCAAGGGCAAGGTCCTGAGTTCGATTGCTGGTACAAAAAAAATTTGCTAACTTGGATGCTGTAGTGTGCCATGGCTGATAACAAAGCCATTGCCACCTTAAGTCCTAAAGAGCAGTAGTGGTCACCCAGAGAGGGGGGCCTCACCCAGGAACTGTGGTATCGGAAGAGGGACCTTGCTTGAAGTGAGCAGGACCATCAAAGCCCTACCTCCCAGGTGGGGGTCTGGTAAGGATCTGGCATCCCTGTCTCTTTCTGGTACCTCCACGGGTAGAACCCAAAGGGCTACCCAGGAGAAGTACCCAGGATTCCACCTAGGTAGAGGGCAGTGAGGGCTCGGCCTCCACTTCTCCCTCATTCAGCACCCACCCAGTGGGGCACCCGTCCCCAGCAACGTCCCTCTGTGCAGCTGCCTGACTGCCACGGTCCCAGAAGATTGGAACAACTGAGCAGGGCAGAGTCCAGTTTGCTCCTGGAAGATGTCGCTGTGCTAACAGAAGTTAGGGGCCCATGGCTGAGAAGACAGTGCAGCCAGCAGCCAAGGTACCGAGGAAGGTCTGGCACTGGGGCCTCTGGTTCTGGCCCCAGCTCTGCTAATGCATATGATGTCAGGTAGCTCAGTGGCCCTCCATCGGGCTTGGCTTCTTCAACAGAAGGTGAATCATGGAATCTTCCTGGGGCTGTGGTGAGGATGGAATGAATTAATGCCCTCAAAACCCCAGATCTTCCTCCATATTGAACCATCAGCAAATGCTGCCCCTCCTGTCTGGGGCCTGGCTTTCCTCATCTGGGTAGCAAGTGTGGACTGTGGGGACCCCAGGACCCTCTAGACCCTCCACATCCTGGGACCTGGGTGCTCCACAGTGCACAGTGAGGGCTGAAGCTGGTGCTTCTCTTTGTGATCTCGAGGGGGCAGGACTCTGGTTCCATCACAAAAGCTGTCCTCCCGTCAGGAGCACCACACTCACATGCCCCTCACCTGTAGATGCCCACCGGTGGGGTAAATAAAGCCACTACAGCTCAGCATGAGCTGGTCTTCAGACAGATGTGTTGGCCCTTTAGGTCAATCCCCAAGCCCAGCCTGAATGATCTGCCCAGTGATCTGGGTATGTATCTTACGAGCAACATGTTCAAGGAGGCATCCAGCCATGCATGATATCAGTTTCTAAAACACCACCTTGGGCCCATGTTAAGGTCCTGCCCGAGGCCATTCGGCGCCCCCTGGAGCAGCTGAAGAAGTCCATCTCCCATCACTGTCCTTGTGAGACACTCAGGCTCTGAGGCCACAGTGCCAGTGCCAATCTCTCTGGGGCCAGGTGCCAGACACACAGGGGACAGCCCCCCCCCCCAAGTCAGGAGCCCAGGAAGTAGAACTTCTGTGAGGGAGCCTGTGAAACCCCCCTGTAGGGCTGCTCATTGTCACAGCGCGTGGGCGCGGGTCTCTGTGTGGGCTGCCTGGCACCCTATCCTTCCTTAGAGAGCGGGCAGGAGAGTCCTGCCTTTCTTCTGGCTGAGTGGCTAGAAAAGCGACTGCAGTGACCCCAACAGCTGAAGCGAGCCTCGGGTCACGTGAAACACAGCATGATGATCTTACGGGTGCCACCTGTGTGTGGTCCTCTCTGCCACCTGCTCATTCATATTTTTGCCTGTGGGTCTCATACGCACAAAGTGGGTATCCTGTACCTGGGCAGGCAAAGCCAAGTGCCTCACACCTGGTCACTCCTTCTGATGCTGGTATCCAGGGGGCACCTAAAACTATGCTTCTGAAATAAACACGGTCTGGACAAGATGTCCAGCATGTAGTTACTGCATGGGAGCTGTTAGCTGTGGTTGCCTCCGTCATCATGAAAGACAGCTCCTTCCAAATCAAAAGGTGGCAGTTTCATGGCACCGCACACCCCTCAGCCGCAGAAGGAAGAATGTGTTCCCGCAAGACAACTGCCTGTCCACAGAGGCCTCCTCTCAAGACCCAGCCGTGACTAACCAGCGAGCCTTTCTGGTGTCCTAATGCAATAAGTCACCATGGTCACAGGAGCCCTATAGGTGGTGAGCCCATTTTACAGACTAGGAGTCAGGGCCCAGGAATGGTTATGGCAGAGGCAGCAGGAGGATGCTGTGCTTTCGGCCTGGCCTGGATTGCTCTAGGCCCAGCGCCTGTTGCAGGAGGGACCCAGGCTGACCTAGAGGTGTGAGCTGGAGCCTTGCCTGCTCTGTCTGCACTCCCAGCTCTCAGCTGCTAATCTTCCTCCCTAGATCCTGTTCGAGACCTTCAATGTGCCTGCCCTGTCCTTAATCAATCAAGGAGTCCTTTCACTATATGGTGCTGGCCTAACTTCTGGTGAGTGGCCCTGTGAGAGCCCCGCCCACACATCCTGTCCCTGTGACTGGTGACTGGTGATGCGCTATAACATACAGCCCAGTCCCTCCCTAACAAAATCAAAGACAAAAGTCCCACTCCCTGACCCCTTTCTTGATTCCCTCCCCTTTCATTCCTCCTGGTTAAATCCACCCCTCCCCGACTGGTGCTCTTTAACAGCTTTACTGACATGTAATTGACAGACAATAAACCACACAGGTTTTAGGCATACAGTTTACCAAGTTCTCACAAAACCATCACAACCGACATTATGAACCTACCCATTGCTCCTGAAGTCCCTCTTGTACCATCACTCTTCCTGTTTCTGCCTGTCCCGATAGAGGAGTTTGCATTTTCCAGAATGGTATATAAAGGGAACTCTGAGGCAAGTGCTCTATTTTGTGTGTCTTTTATCTACTGTGCATAATTATTTGGAGATTCATCTGTGCTGTTGTTTGTATCAATAGTCCATTTCTTTTTATTGCTGAGTAGTGTTCCATTTTGTGAATGCACCCTGCTTTGTCTATTCATCCATGAATGGCTATTTGGGTCATTTCCAGTTTGGGGCTATTATAAATAGAGTTGCTGTGGACATCCATGTGCAAGTCTTTGCATGGTTATATGCTCTCATTTCTTTTGGATAATTACCTACAAGGGAAATGGCTTAAATGGCTCGGTCCTATGACAGATGTATGCTTAACTTTCAAAAAAAAAAAAAAAAAAAAAAAAGATAGCTCTGTAGAATAAGTGCTTGCCTGGCAAGCAAAAGGTCCTGAGTTCAATCCCAGGTACCATTCAAAAAAAAAAAAAAAAAAAAGAAGTCTGCCTAACTGGTTGCCGAGGTAGCTGCACCATTTTGCACTCCCATGGCCATTTGGAAAGCTCCAGCCCCTCCACACCTTCTGTCACTTGTGTGCTCACCCTCTGATTTGTGGCCATTCCAGGAGGAGAGCAGCAAGGTCTTCCGGGGTCTCTACTCACATAACCCCAGTGATCAGTGATGTTGAACACGGTTTCTTGTACTTTTTGCCATGTATGTGTAGTAATCACTTTCCTCTCACTGGGATAAAACACCTGGGACCCACAGCTCAATGGAGGTTTAGTTTGAATCAAGCATTCAGTCCATGGTCAGCAGGCTCCAAAACACAAGCAGCACGGTGAAAGGTTATGGCAGCCAGGAAGCAGAGAGAGAAGGGAGGAGCCGTGGCCAGGAACAGACCCACCTCCAACCAGACCCCACCTCCTGAAGCCACAGTCATCCAGGAACTCATCAAAGGATGAACCCTCCCATGAGTATAGCGTTCTCACTATCCAGTCATCCCCAAACACTCATGACTTTGGCAGGTGAGCTTAGATTTAAACCTTAGCAGCATATATGTACTTCAGAAAAGTAGTTTTTTCAGTGCTTTGCCAAGTTCATCTAGGTGTCCTATCCTCTTTTTCTTTTCTTGATTCAAGTCTTCCACCAAGTGTGAGCTCTGCAAACATGCGCCCCTTTCCACAGCTTCACTTCACATTCTCAGCGTGGTGTCTTCGGAAGAGTAGAAGCCTTTGATTTCATAAAATTTTATTTATTTTTTGCTTTGGGATCATGCATTTAATATCATATCTAATAAAGAGATGTGGAGCTTTTTGGCTATATTTTGTGTTAGGTAGCTTTCCATTGCTGGCACAAATGACCTGGGAAATTCAATTTAAAGCAGGAAGAGTTTATAGTTTGGCTGGTGAGAGTGTTTAGTTCATAATCAATGAACTGCATTGCTTTGAGGCCAGTGGTGGGGCAGAGCATCAGGGTGGAAGGGCATGGCCAGGGAAATCATGAGTTACTCATCTCATGATGACAAGAGAGCAAGGAAGGGACCTAAGACAATACAAACATATCAAAGACCTACTTCCTCCTATCCCCATAGATCTTCTTCTTCCTGCCACAGCCTATCTACTAAAGTTTCCTCCACCACCCAAGAGCCTACTAAGCTATTATCCATCCATAAATGAATTAAGCCAACAATGACTCCAGAACACCTTGTGACTCAATCTACCACCCGGAGGCCACAGGTCAGAGCACTGCTGCCCTGAGGACCAAGCCCTTGGCAAACGAGCTTTTGGGAGACACTCTAGATCTCAACCACAACAGTTTTCTTCCGGACCCTCTCCCGCCACCTCGGGCCACCCCCCACCCCTCCCGCCGAGTAGGAATT